TAAACAGCTGAACTTCTTTGATTTGGAGCAATAATATGAAGTAATTGACGTTTTTTCACTGACCAATTTAGGAATGTTTATATGTAAAATACTTGAAACTGAAAATCCATTGTTCCAGCTAAAACATGAGCAATAAGCTAGATTGCCTGTTCGCTGACCACAATGACCGCTTTGTCGACAGTTACTTTGAAGTTACAAAAACAAAACAAAAATTAAAATACAATATTTACAACAATATGCTATAACTATCTGTCGTGTGTTTATTTACTTTATTTATTTTCCGACTTAGCCTACAAGTGAATAGTTAAATTCACATATTGAGGAATATCTTTACAATACATCACGGTGTCATGTTCAAGGAACTTTCTGTCGCAAGCCAATCAACCTGCGAAGGTGCATATAAACCAAGTTGCAAATGATCACGTTTCTTTATGCCTTCGTACATAGATATATATGTACATACCATACATATTTATATTTTCATATTTATACATTGCTTTGATTGTTTTTGGCGCTAGGCAGCTAGGTTTATTAAATAGAAAAGTGTTTAAGCCCTTTAGCCTCTAAGTTTTAAACGGTGTAAACAATTATAAAGTTCTTTACCCGTTTGTCAGACTCTTGATTGGCTGCTGAAGGTTATCGATAGACTTTGAAAAATTATCTATTGAACATGTAATATTATTGTTGCTCAAATATTGTATTGATTTCAGTATTCATATTAAGAATATGATTTTGAATAGAGTAAACATCTCAATCTTGCATAATTTTAATATTCAACGCTTTCAGTAAGCTTTTGCATAATTGCGCATTATCTAAATTCAGTTAAGTCAATAATGTTTATATGATTAAGCTATAAATATCTGATAATAATAACGTCATGACATTTACAATTATGGCAGATGAAACATTAAGCTGCATCTCTAAATGTGATGTGAGCCTTTTAGTCAGCTTTGAAAAAACATTTTTTCTATGATATTAAACTTTTAACCGGTCTTATGTGAATGCTAAATCTAATAGTGACTTTTTATATCCTAAACAGGGTATATTAAGTTTGCCATGAAATTTGCAAATTCCAGAAGCGTCGAAGACCTTGTAAGGAAAAAAATAAATGATCAGTGTGACAAGCTGAGTGATATATCTGTGTCTGTCTGTTTATACGAAAACTAGTCGCTCAATTTTTGATAACGTTTTGAATTTCACACATGTCACATAATATTCGAATAAATTGTTCAGATCGGAACACTATAGCATATAGCTGCAATTCAAACTTACCGATCAAAATCAAAAAAAATATGCTGAACAGGGTATATTAAGTTTGTCACGAAGTTTGTAACACCCAGTAGGAAACGTCGGAGACCCTATAAAATATATACATAAATGATCAACATGATGAGCTGAGTTGACCTAGCCATGTCCGTCTGTCCGTCTGTCTGTATATATTTGAACTAGTCCCTCAGTTTTAGAGCTATCGATCTGAAATTTTGCACTTGTCCTTTCCGCATTTGTCGGAACGGCCGATATCGGACCACTACAACATGTAGCTGCCATACAAACTGAACAATCGGAATCAAGCGCTTGTATGGAAAACTCTTTCATTTGACGTAGTATCTTCACGAAATTTGGCATGGATTATTGTTTAAGGCAATAATGCAATTTCCGAAGAAATTTTATTGATCCGATGACCATAGCATATAGTTGCCATATTAACTGAACGATTGCAATAAAATGGCAGAAATGGAATCACTAAAGAAAATGTTTAGATTGGGTCACTATATCATATATCTGCCATATTAACTGAATGGCATGGAAAACTTTTTTATTTGACGAGGTATCTTCACAAAATTTGGCATAAATTATGTCACTATATTATATAGCTGTCAAACAAACTGAGCGACCAGAATCAAGTTCTTGTAAGGAATCTTTTGTATTTGTGTTTTTATTGATCAGACTCAAAATGGCTTTTTTAATTAAAATATTAGTAATTATCTCAACTGTTCCTCAAGCTCATACATATGTATGCATTGTAAGTACATATAGACCAATTTTGAACACTTTTACATACTGCCAAGAATTTGTTATTTAACATTTTCTCAGTCAAATGTAACCATTACTTTTTCCAGAAGTTATTTTTTTTAATACGCGTGCGTAGTTAGTATCAAATTTTTGTTAAACCACAGAAATGCTCTAAAACTGTCATGGTGGCTGGTGGTCCAGTTTTTCGTGGTCATTTGGCGTTGTAAAAACACAGAATTGACAACAAAAGGGGTAGGTTCTATATTTGTACCGATGTTGAAAAAAGATAGTTCGATAATTTTCCAATAAGACCCCAATAACTTTCTAACAAAACATTCAGTTCAAGCACTCCTCAATACAAATTCATACAAACTACTTTTAATAATGCAAAATTTCTTGCTTCGAAGGTGTCAAAATACTTAAAAGATATTTAGAAAATATTTCCCAACAACAATAACGGTCGTAAATTAATCATTGTATATCTAGCTAATATTTTGCTAATTACAAGCGCTAATTGTTAGTGCTTTGATTGTGCTTGTTGGAGCGAAGTTGTTATTCAATTTCATTAATCGGCTACTTGCATTCGCCGTAATGAATTTGTGAGACAAACTTTGATGCTGACGGCGGCGCTGCTGTCGATTGTCTGACAATCGGAAAGCCAGCGGCAGCAATGATTGTTGCTTGTTCGATGTTTAATGCGTTTTTGCTGTTGTTGCTGCCGCTGCCAATGCTCTAATAGTCATTGTTATGGCTATTGTTGGCGCTATCATGTACCCTCGATCGGTGTTGCTGACATCGGTCCGGCGTTTTCATATCTACACACATACATATGTATATGTGTACATACTACATACATAAATACCTTTCTGTATGCATATAGGCAAATAATGTGCGGGTAACATACAATGCGAGTAGTCGCTCGGTTCAATGCTCCGGCTTGCTTATTCGTGCTGCTTGGCGTATTACTGCTGTTGTTGTTGCAGTCTAATTTATTTACTTTATTTATTTTTGTTACAGGTGACGTTTAGCGATTGTTTTGCATCAATAGCTGTTGTTTGTACTGCTTTTATTATTTTATCTATAGTTCATTTCGTATGGATGGCGATTTTTATTTAAATTTGAGTTTTTTTGATTTGTGTTTCTTTCTTTTGATTTGTGTTGTTTCTTGTTTAGCTTGTGAATAATTTTAATTTTGCAAAATAGTGTGGCTACATAAAATTTGTTTATACACTTAAATAGCAAATCGGTTTAGCTCGATCTTTGGACCCATAGTTGCAATAACTATGTAGCCCAATCTCTTGTGGTGAATTTCATTGTCATGGTCACTGTCACAGGTGTTACGTGTGTCACATACATATGTATGTATTTATATTTAAGCGTTTAAGGAAGGCAGGAAGGAAGGTAAAAATAATATTTGGAGAGATCTCCGTAGGATAAGGTCTCTTCATAGCCCACTGTGCATGATAACCAGGGTTAATTCTAACGATTCAATAACAGGAAATTTAATCGTCAAAATCTGATCTTTGTATAAGATAAACATTTTATATTTTAAAGAAATTGGCGAGACCTAGAAACCTACTACTATAAATGTTAAAACATAAACTTGATCGCTATATACCATTGAAATGAGATGAAAACGAAGAAACTTATATACTGAAATTAATAATGAGTAATCGAGTTACTGGCCGGTGAAGTGAGCGCTGAAAAAAAAAACGATAATTCGTGGTTGACACGATTCCAATCCTTGTAGTGATCTAAAGTGTTATCATTTCGAGGTGTCCTACTTTTATAAAGAAAAAAACACAGAAAATTAAATTTTAATTGTTAATGTTTATTATCATTCGAAAGAACATTATTTGGTAATTACTTTTTGAAGATTATCTACGTCTCAGATGGTCCATCCGTTCAGACAAATTTTCGATGACTCGTTCGAGCATTTCGACTGGTAACTAGCGAATTACACGTGTGATGTTTTGCTTTACATCGCAAAACTTTAGACTTTACATATCCCCACAGGAAAAAGTCTAACGGTGTGATATCACACGATCTTGGTTGACAATCGACCGGCCCAAAATGTAAAACAAACAAATAGAAAAAATTCTTCATAAGTAAAGATGTCGCTATGGGATTGGCCTTTGTCAAAGAAAAATATAAAAAATCACAAAATGGCATGGACTTGAAAAAAAAATTTTTTTACTCCCTTCTTTAATGTTGCGAATTTTTTAAAAATGCTTAAAATTAAAATTTTCCAAAATTCGAAATTACTTAGGACGCAATCTCTCGGAAAAAATAGAAACATTTATGTTGCACATACGTGTGTACATTTTTACATTACTAATTAATTTTCTACGCTTTCGGAAATATATTTACATATGTATATATGAATATGTGGGATAAGCAAAATATCGTGTTTCAACGCTTTCCATTGAATATAATTTCGATTGTTATTAGAAAATATTTTCCAATGCGCTTTATTTAACTTTTGAGTATGAGTACATATAACTGAGTATTAGTCATCGATACTTAGTTTGTTATCGAGTATATCACGATATATCAAAAACTACCCATATGTGATCAAATTGTTAACCGCCCTTTTTCCCACACAATGAACACTATGTGTTGGAATATGTGTTGAATTTTATTAGCAATCGTTTTATTACAAGACAGGCGACTCCGGACATTTGTTATTAAATAGAGTAAAATATTAGTACATTTAAACTCAATGCGTAACCTAAGAACCTTTGAAGTGACTATAAATTAGGCTTTCTTTGCAATTTAAAATTTTAAACCGTCAACAATTTAAAAATTTTGCCTTTTTACTTTATTTCAGGGATACTCAAATTGTCGAGTGTTGGTATTGCGCTGATAATTGTGGCGGTTCTGATGATGGCGATTGATCCACTACAGTTAATTATCGATAATGTAATAAAAAAATACAAAAAAAAAATCCACTATAGCAGCTCAATTAGTAGCACGTATTCTTTACATTTATTTTTCATTACAACATTCCATATGCAAATTATAAATTTGCCGAATATTTTTATTTACAGCAATTGACCCTGAAAACCGGCACGCTGCTGTATAATTTGTGGCTGAAGCCACCGCTTGAAGTATTCATCAGTGTGTATATGTTCAATGTCACCAATGTGGAAGCGTTCATGAGCGGACAGGACAGCAAGTTGAAGTTGGTCGAGGTGGGTCCGTATGTGTATCAGGAGGTACTGGAGAACCAAAATGTCTTATTTAATGTTAACAAAACCGTAACATTCACGCCAAAACGGTCTGTACGATTTGTACGCGAACGTTCTGTGGGTGATCCGACAATCGATAAGATAATGGCGCCGAATATACCCTACTTGGGTGTAATGTCTGCGGCGTCAGATTACTCTATATTCGCTATAATGGCGGTGAATGCTTTGACAAAGAAGTTCAATTCTAAGCCGATGCTAGAGCTGAGTGTACATGATTATCTCTGGGGTTATGAGGATCCAATAGTGCATTTAGCATCGAAGGTGGTGCCAAGCGTCATACACTTTCAACGCTTTGGCTTAATGGAGCGTGTGAGTGACGCATAGAAACACACTTTTCCTAATGTAACTTCCAAACTAATCCTTCAATCGTTGTAGATGTTCGACGAAGGTCATAATGTGGTCACCATGAATTTACCCAAAAAATTGCAAGCGAAGGATAATGTTGAAGTTGAGACAGATCGTGACTTCTCCATCGACAATTGGAACGGCAAGACAGGTTTCAAAAACTGGGACTATAATGAGGAACGCAGGTAAGTTTGCTTATTTCTCTCAATGAGTCGCATCTAGGAGCTTATGATTTCCATAACTGATTTTAGCACGAGTAATACACCTTGCAACACGCTACGTGGTACATATGACGGCACTCTCTTTCCGCGCAACATCCATAAAGGCGAAACATTTCGGGTGTACCGGAAGGCTTTCTGTCGCAGCCTACCCATACAGTACTCACATTCTGAAACCGTTAATGGCTTCAAAGGCTATAAATTCAAATTGAAGGAAAATGCTTTCGATAGCGATCTCGGCGACTCAGAGACATCTTGCTATTGCAAGAACAAGCGTTGCTTGAAGAAAGGACTTGGCAATATTGCGCCTTGCTACTACAGTAAGAAACAATTTAGTAAATCTAGTAAATTTGCAATTAATCAGAACTGTATTTGTAAATTAGATATACCGCTGGCCGTTTCATTTCCTCACTTTTTCAACGGTGAACCGAGTTTGTTGGATAATATTGAAGGTCTGCATCCAGATAAGGATAGACATGGTACAGATATAATTATACAACCGGTGAGTGTAAACTATTTATAAAACATTTATAAAGAGTGGATTAATACTATTAGAGCAGAGTTACTTTTCTTGTTTGATTTCTCAGATGTTCAAACATACTATAAATACCTCAACTGAATTTTTAGTTCGGGTGGCAGGGACGAATTTCATATTGTTTTCACCTCCAGGTACACAAACCACTCTAACCTGCTAAATGTAGCTGTATTCTAATTCTTAAACCATTAGATAGTTAAATCTAGTCACATAAAGTCGAAATGGCGATAGTCTCTTATGGAGCGTGGCGATTAACCGCCCATTTAGTATAGTTTTGCTATCTACCTCGTTAAAATTTCTATCTGTACCTCGTTAAATATTTATACTATTCAAGTCAAGAAATAAATTTATAAGTAAATTATAAAAATACTTTTAACTTTAGATTGTAAAATAGATCATAAAAAACTTTATTTAATTTTTTCCAGCAACTCGGTATACCTATGAGAGTGCGTTCGCGCTTTCAGATAAACTTACTAATGGGAAATGTCAAATTTAATCGAGATGTATCGCAGTTTAAGAATATGGCATTGCCTATATTTTGGATTGAGATGGTAAAATTTGTTGATACTGTATAAAGTAACAGTTCTTTAACTACTATTTTTCTTCTAGGGCGTTGAAGATCTCACACCCGGCGTTAAAATATTGCTCACTTTACTATTTCGTGTCTGCCCGTGCTTACAGTTAGGGCTAGTTATAACGTTCATCGCGAGCGGAGTATATTTGGTGAGCAGTGCTTTATTGTATTGCTTTTGGGCGCCAACAGCTTGGAAAACCATGAATGCGACCATGGAGCAGGCAATGAATGCTGAAGCCGGCCTCAAAGCAAATGTGGGCTTCTTGCCATTGTTAAAGCAGCCGAAGATAGTGGAAATGAAGAAGTTGCCGAAACAATCCAAAGCGGTGAATCAAAAAAAGCCTGATTACGATGTGTCGCTGCTGCCCCTGCACCGAGGTGTGGTGGCGTAGTGCCAAGTCAGAAAAGGCCTCCAGCAAACTTCCAACTGTGATATTCAAATTTAAGCGTAGAATTTATACCTTTTTATCTCGTAAATTATGCATTAGATTTCTAGCAGGGACTAACTAATTAACACTATACAGTTTATCTATTTATAATTGACTATTAATTATAATAAGCGACATTTTTGTATTCTACGATATTTCTATAAATTATTTAACAGTTACTTAGACTTAAGTTTCTTTTAGTTAGTTTACTCGAACAAATAATACAAGTACAATTTCAAAAAGAGTCTCGCATTTTCATTTTCTTACTTATGGTACTTTAATAACTAGTATTTACATATAATTATGCATATATATTATATAATAAAAGTATATATGTATGTATATACATAGGTACATAAGCAGGCTAAAGCTGTTCTTGGCTACTCTTTCGCTATAGTGTCTTGGATCCATTTCATGTAGTATGAAATACGCACATAAACATCTGGGAAGCCCTCCATGGCACAGCCCGAGCCGAACGATGTTATCCCGGCCAAGAGCCATGGTCCGCTTTTGCTGAGCCTACACTGCAGCGGGCCACCTGAGTCACCCTGTAGTGTATCAAAAGCAATATATTATGAATGTTTCTTCAATTTCGTTCTAAAATTTACCACACAAGTACCGCCTTTGCCGTTCAGCTTACCGGCGCACAAGTGGCCACGGTGGATCTTCACGAAACTGCCATACGCCGCTCTGCATCTACAGTTTTACAGAAATTAGTCAGTTTTATAAAAAAACATACAGCCTTAATCTAGACTTACCTCTCGCTGTTGTGCAGCGGTACTCGTGTTTTCAGCAGCACATTCGTTAGGTCACTGCTGACATTTGATTTACCCCAACCCGTCGCTACACAGTCACTGTAAGGCAGATCTTTGTAGTCTTCTAGCTCTTCGCCATCCGTCCAGTAGTGCTTGCGCGAATCTGCACTACCCTCGTATTCTCGATAGTTTCCTTGCACTTTCATGAGTTTGTCATTTCGTCGGTGTGTCGAATGTAGCATGCGTCCATGCCGTTGCATGTCTGTCTGCTTCAAGCGACTAAGTATTTTCGTGTTCATTAGTTCACGCATACTGGGCAGCGTTACGTTTCGATTGCGTCGCACCTTTTGCACGCTACGCAGGAAATTATCATTCAAATCTGGCACTCCTGAGAGTCCCGGCTCCAAAGGATCTTCTGGTTGACCTTCGGCAACTATCTCTTCGTCACTGCTTGGCAAGTTTATTTCCGACAGCGACTGCTCATTGAATGCGAATGGCAGACATATTACACGAATGTTGGAGGTTTTTGCCAGATTAGCTGGACTAGAGAGCTTTAAGAGCGCGAGATCATGCCGAAAGTTATGGTAACGTTTATGTAGTATGATTTTGTCGACTGGAACGCGTTGTTCATAACCGGACTCTTCGAGCCGATTGTGATCACCTAGTACGACGGTCCACAGCAGCGGTATAGGTAGGTTGAAGAGATCGCTGTAAGGACAAGGTCGAAAAAAGTGAATCATAAACTGGGAAATATTTAAGAATGTCACTTTACTCACTTATGTATGCAATGTGCTGCGGAAAGTATCCAATATGGATGAATAAGTACGCCGCCGCACCAGTGGCCTAAAAAGCCCATTGATGGGTGCAGAAGCTCGAGTGATGCTTGCCATGGATATTGCCCATCTTTTGTTGGAGCACCAGAAATTATGCGAGCAATACGATTAACTTGTTGTTGTGTTTCCTGAGCTGAGTCTGCTGCTGTTGCGGCGCGTGGTTCACGCCGACTGGAGCGCGATCCGCAACCTACTTATGAAAAAAACCCTTATATAATATACTCGTGTGGTAAATAGAAGTCTTAAGTTTAACAAATCTGGAAGCAGAATGCAAAACTTAAAACCGTTAAAATAAAGACTGAAAAGCCCTCATCGTGTTTTTTCTTTTTTATTGAAAGAGCCCTTAGGTAGCATAAGTTTGTCCGAGAAGTAATCAGATATACAATGGATATTGCTAACTACTTACTTGGAGCTTTATAAAGACTCAACGTTATATCAAAAAGTGTTTAACATAGGTCTTTTGTGTGTTGTTAGAACGTTAGCTGACTGTGTTATATCAAGCTTATCAACTATCGGACCCGGTCTAACCTTAGGGTAGTTTACGAAATTTTCTAATACAATTTTTAACTGGAAATTTTCCATTTTACCCTCAACTGAAATTATTTTCTAGATCAATAAATAGGAAGCTTACGAACCTAAAAAAATATTATATACCTATATATAGGATAACTTTTGTTATATTTTATATTTGAGTTAATGTTGAATACAGAGGAAGATATTTATTATTCGTGCGATTTCAGTCTCCATAAATAAGCCACGACTCGAGAAAATATTTAGATACATACTTTGATGAAATTGGGTTCAAACGAGTAGTTAGGATCAGAGCATTTTGAAGTGATAAATTAGATTTACGCATACTTTCAAAACGAAAAAATCAGACGATGTTCAAAAGCACTCCTATAATAAGTCGCTAAATACGAGAAAGGTCAAATTCAAGAAATGATATGGCAAGAAAATAGATGAGAAATATTTCAGTATACGTTATGCATTACAGTGGAAATTTTTTTTTTTGCTTAGATTGAGGGTAAAATGTGTAGATTATAAAAAAAGGAAATTTTTGGACACAAAAAAAATTTTTTTTTAACATCTAGGCCCACTCACTTTTAAAGTAAATTTAGACGTAAAATTTTTTTTTGCACAAAAAAAAAATTTTTTTTGGTTTAAACTCTTCACATTTATATAAAAATTAGCGAATTTGACGGTTTTTGACTGAAAATTTATTTTAACGCTTAAGATAAGCATAAGAATTTTTTTTAAACTCCAATAATGACCACAATATTTTAAGTTGATAACTTTTAATTGGCCAGAAAGAGGACTTTCCACAGCTTCTAGAACACTTTAAAAGTGAGTGTTAAAAAAATTTTTTTTTGTCCAAAATAGGGGTTTAAAAATCGGGTTTCGTTTTTATTTCAAGAGTTTATAGAAAAACTATTGAAAATACGTTTGCAAAATTTTAATAGAAAATTTCAATCGTTATAAGCCATTAAGGTGAGCCGTTCTCCTTCAGACCCCGAACGAGTTTGTGTCAAAACGACTTCGAAATGGCAACTAAGCTAGTTTCGACCAATTTGAATTCGAAAACTGATAGTTACTTCCTACATTGCGCTCTATTTTAACCCAAATTCGGAGTATCCAGAATATCTTTTTATTTGGCCCAAAAAATGGAAAAACGCCTAAAAATCATGTTTTTGATTTGATCTCTGTAAAAATGTTCAGCTTCACTAAAATAAATTTTATTTTTATACTATAAAAAATGCATGCACATCATTGAGAACACGCTGTCCTAACGCTATTTTAATCCTTAAAGCAAGGAATCTTCATCGTCCCTAAGCGAAGCGGATCGTAATGCATCTGACGAATTAACCGTTATCACTAACTGTGCTCAAATATTTGATAACAAAGGAATCGAGTGTTATTTATGCACTTTTGGAGTTACCTGCACTAAATTGTTGATAATTGAAACTGCGAGTTGTTGCTGCTGCGATTGGCACAAAAATGATGAGACAAAGCAAAAGTGAGCGAGGCAGAAAAAACATCTTTAATCACATTATTCACTGTTTGTTGTATGGACTGCTCACTGGTCGAGTGCCTCCAACATGCGCCGCATTTCCGCATGCAAACGTGTTTTCCTCCACAACGAGCTCCCACGCACGAAGACGCACTGATCGCCTACGCAGCCATTTATGCGACGTTAAACAGGTGTCCAGTCACACTTAACACTCAATTTGCGAACTTTACGAGTATTACCGTTGAATGGCGATGCGGTGTCAAAACAGTCCTTATTTACACAAATTGTAAGCTTTTTATTGGCTCTGCGATTGCGCCACCGGAATTTCAGATGCGGATTTGGTTAGGTGCGCGCGGAATTTCCACTTTCACGTAGTGTACACATGACAAACGAACAAATAGTTATGCGGTGGCGCTGAATGGGCCTTCGAATACCGACTACTAAAATGCCAGGTCGAGATACTTTTCTTTTCGTTGAGGTTTCTTGGTATGCAAATGGCTTCCAACTTTTTATTACATTTATTCAAATGTGTTTTCTACTTTATTATTATGATCTGCCATTTACACTAAATTGTTTTTGTTTTATGTAGTTTCTGTTGAGTGCGCGTGCTAGCGCGTATTTGCTTTTATTCTGCACACTTAATTATTGGTGTAGTTCATAATTGGCGAGCAATGCTAATTCGCTTCTGTGTATAATTCACCGAAAAGTTCATTAATCACTTCCAACAAAGCGCACGAAAAACAGCTGCGGCAGCGCAAGCAGGCGAGCGTAGAAATATTCGAAAGAGACTTGCTTCGCAAAAGTGAACGCGATGATCACAATAGACAAGTGAAAAATATTACTTGCTTTAGTTTTGGCCAAAGTGAGAGGCGCTTATGTAATAAAAGGTCACAGATGGTCGACAGGTGCACCAATTATTATCTGTGCCCATCCCCAGTGCCGCAATGGAAACTCTTTCACAAAGCTATAAGTTATACTTATAGGCAACGTGCCTTGGAATTGCCGTTATCCTTGCCGTTCAGTTTAACACGCGCTCGTTTGAAAATGAATTAAAACCATACTGCATTCCGCGGTATACGACTCGCACGCTATCACCACTCAAATGCAACTGCATCAAGCTCCTGTTGCGAACGCGGCCTCGACTACAGCCCCAACGGCCGCGCCGCGCGTTGGCAGAGCCCAACTCTGCAACCAGCGACACTTCCCCCTCCATAGAGCGCATTGTTGGGGTGCCATGAGTGTGGCGCAAGGCCAGTAACATGCTGCCGCTTGCCACCTTTTGTATCGCCTAACATCAGCCGTCTACTCCTCCAACTATCCAACTAGCGCCATACGCGCCGCCGGTGCAAAATGCGAGTGCAAATGAAATGAATGTTGGAAATGGAAATTTTCAATGAAAATAAAAATGAATCGAGAAAAAAATTGACTCAATGATGAAAAGTAACTGCAAAGTAGAATTAAAACAAAAACAATGAAACAATAACATCGCGCGCAAGTCGCTGTGCTAGTGGTCGGTAGTCAAGCAGCCACCCAACCGCGCCGCCATGCGCCAAGGTGGCCAGACTCGGCGCACCCGCTCCGGCGTTGAGTAGCGCATTGCGGTTACTCGATTACTTTCGTTTTTATTTTCCATGTTACGATAGCCGTCGGCTGCCAGTTAATACCAAGCCAAAGCAGCGGTTTTGTAGCCGTCTAATTGCTGTTGTTGTCGTCATTGTATCATTGCTAGCCTTCTAGCGCTAGCTGTTCACGCGGTGGCAACATAAGCCACCATTCAAAGCAAATCATCTCTTCCGCCTCACGGCTGTAGCTGCGCTAATAACAACCACTTCACCACTCTCACTCTCGTTTAGCGCATGCCAGCCGTAAATCGCATCCGCTTGATTGTTGAATGCAACATAAACCGGGAAGTTGTTGTTACCTGTCCGCTTGTTGTTGCTTTTATATTAGAGTTGTTGTAGTTGTAGTTGTTGTCGCGAGCATTGGCATTAGTTTTGTCATGTAGGCGGATTGCGGCATCCGTGTACATCAAGAGGTTCGTCGTTTTATTTACTGGCGCCCATCTGGTGTTTTTGGGTTGTGTCTCTCTTTTGGTTGTTACGGCCAATGATAATCTTGTTGAAGTTATTACCGTTGTTGGGCACATAATTACCGTAACTTTTGTTGTTACTTTTGCATTTAACGTTGTTGAATTCGCTGCTATTGTTGCTTTAGTGATGACAGGCACGATGATGGTGTAGTTTATAATGTGAAATGACGAAGATGTTTTGTTGTTTATGATGCTGCACTGTTGGTTGCCGAAGTGTTGAAATTCAACTCATTGAAAGCACAAATATTGTGAAATTTGCGTTACGTTAGCCGTGTGCACACATGTGGTTGTAATTACGAAGTAGCACAATGGATTACACCGCTATCAGCTGATTTATGGGCGCCAATTAATGCGCTGAAAATAATTTATTTATATTACCTTTATTTGACAACATAATTAATTTACAACAACATAATCTTTTAGTTTTAAACATAAGCATATAGTACAGAAGAAAGCTATATTTCAGAAACAACAAAATGGACACTTTTCTTGGATGCTACTCAGGCTACATTTCGACCAAAGCTTGATTTTAACTGTATACCCCTAATACACTATATATTTTTCTATATAAAGTACTTTCAAAAGCAATCTACAGTCAACCTCAAAAGTCAGGAAACCGCATGTAACTGATCTAAAACAGTCTACGTCAAATCCTCTAGTTCAAAGCAGCATTATTAAGAGTCTAGTCTATACTTGAGTTCCAATGTAGTAGTCTCTTCTTAAGAGTAATAATAAGGTACTAATTACAGCATTTCCGTTTCTTATCTCAAAAAGTAAACTCAACAATACTCGATGCATACTTTTGGATAGAAGGCTTTAAGGGAGCTCGAATTCCGGCCCTCGTTGGCGCAACAGTTTTAGGTCCGAATTTATTAGCGATAATGAATCAATCTTTAATGAATCAATAAAACGAACTTAGCTTCCAGAGAAATTAAATTGTAAAAGGGTATCATGGATATATTCAATTTATCTTTATCAATTACATAATTTCAGTTATATTTTTACATTTATTGTTCGTTGTGCCAGCAAATTTGTTGTTGTGCACTGCAAATGGGTTAACAATGAGCAATGCTTTTTGCTTTTTATTTGTGACTGCCGGGGTTTCCTTTTGATGTCTCATTAGCGCAATGTTGATGCAATCGTCTCATTCAGCAACGAACAATGTAGCGAAGAGACACAGGAAGCAAACAATAAATGTAAACAAAAATTACAAATAAATTTTTATTGCCGGAATCGACGGCTTTGTAACCAGCGCTTGCATTTACTTAAGACCTTATTGGTATTATACACAACTTTTTAATGTTATTATTCACTTTTGGTCTTCGTTTGGATAGAAAAATTTAATAACTTATATATATATTTTTAATAAATGAAACATGTTAATTTCATGGTGTATTTTACTTAACGGATCTCCGTGGGCTTGACAGATTTTATAAGAAACCTAATGATGACTCAACTACAATTGCACAGAGATTCATATTCAATCGCCTTCTATTTAAATTATACAATATGTAAATATGAATTTAATTGTCGAACTTGTGGAACAGTTTACTTTGCATGTATGGCACATACTCACATTCATACAGACATGAGCTGGCACGCATTCATTCATAGGTGAAGAGCTCAAGAGTCACAGAGAAATCGAAGATCAGTAGAAGACCTTGTCCAACCTTGGTGCATCTACAAAAACGACAAAGAAACAGTGAATGAAAAGTGAAACAATTCAACAACAATAGTTGCAACAGTGGCAGCCACAACTACGAGAAGGAGGAAAACGTACAAATAATAAAAGGCAAAATGAATGACGTGTATTCGCTTTGGCTAGCATTTAAATGCTCTGACAGAATCACGGATCTCACTTGCGCTCATACCCCTCACATGTTATTGTCAACGTTATGCCCCGATATTTTGTTATCGATTGCGGTTTTTTACTAATAGTGTTGGTTCGGACATTTTTGTTTGTGGTATGGTATGTCGGAAATGAAGTTCTCATTAACAGGATTTTTTAAAAACTGCACGCATATGTTTTGTTCGTCGAAAATTGGGTAATATGACAGTAGTATATGTTGAGTATTCATAGGCTCAAAAAATAGGCGTAACTGCGGAAAATTTTAAGTTTTTGCCTTAATACCATAAAAAGCCAACATATTTCATTAATATACTATGAGAAGAAATGCTTGAAATTTCTGAGTGGCGAAGTAAATATATTTTGACCTATAGTTACATTATATAGATTTTACTATCTATCTCTGTTGTTTGATCTTTGACTGTCACCTTTCAGCTATTTCAGTTATTGGGTGCTGGTCCAGTAGAGAATACTTTTAGTTAAAATTTTTGTAGATCCTAAGCGGTCTACCTTAAAATCGCTTTAACATGCACTTAGCCAATTCATTACTTGAATGAAATTTCTGCTTTTATTGTGCAATGCATTTCAAATGTTTGCTTCAAATGTGTTTTGTGTATAGGCTATATTTTGTTAATCTTTTCCACTGCACTAAGTTTACAAAGCTTTTGTTTGCATGTATGTGAGTTGCAGTCGTGTTTTTGCCATTGGCGTGGATGTGCTCTTATTCAATGGTTGTAGTTGCCGTTGCATCATCGATTTTCTTATGCAGCAACCGCTACAAGCAACAAAACACCACGTCGTTGAACAAATAAATAACAATACAAATAACAGTAAACGCTGAGGAAAAATGTGAAAAAAAGAAGATGCTGGAGAAGCGCTGAAGACAGGCAGTCGTGCGATCAGCTGTGCAGAGGCATCAGGTCGAAAAACTCTGATATGAAATCGGAGATGATGAGGTTTAATGGCGTCGCGCAGTGAAGCGCACACCAAGAGCGAAGCGAGGGGGCGGTGATGTACATAAGCGGAACATGACTAAACCCCTTCTTCTCTTTTTCGCTTTGTGGTTTGTACTCATGCTATTTATGCCTTTTCCGAGCGATTGTTTGTCCGCATCTATGTTCATACACATGTAAAGTGCTGGTGACGCTGCCGTTGTTACGTTGGACTATGCTGTTGACGATACTTGCACCATGCGGCATAACCAGACATACAAACATGTGTGATTGCATGTGTGTGTATCTATTGTTTGTAAGATCACACGTAAGTTAACTTACAGCTGATCGGTATCGCAGCGTCGCAATGGCATTGACAGTGGCAATGGCAGTGCGGCAACAACAGCGGCAGTTACTCACACTACGGTTGGTTTAGCGGTTATTTTCGTATTTTGCAATTCGCAGCCTTTACTGTTATCAAGTACCCACTGGCGCTGTCGTAACTTGGTTGCTTCTCAATGCCTTGCTCCAGCCAAAAGTGACGATGCGATATGCTTATGTATATCCAAGTACACACCCAAGCATGTGCATATGTGTTTGCACAATTGAACTCACACTCATTTGGCAACTCGCGTGACACTCGAACGAAAACGAAAGTGAAGTTGAATGCCGCCTTTTGTTTCCTGCATCAACCACTTTTGCGTGAGTATGCGCGCCGCAAGATGCCTGGCGCTTCAACGGCAGTGACACACGCACACACACACACACAAACCTGCATGCGGCATGCCTTATATGCAGTTACGTGCGCCACTTCATTTCGCTAACACATTCACCTGGCGCTGGCGCTTGCATTTACATTGGCCTTTGCTGTTGCTGTTGTTTCTGCTGTTTTGTTCGGAAATTCATTTAAGTGGCGCATTTTTTCCGGCAATTTTCCCAGATTTGTTGCATGCAACATCGTCGCGTATTTAATTAATTCAATGCTGCAAATTGCTGTTGCTTTTATTTTATGATCAAATCACAAAAACAATTGCGCACAAACAAACACAAATTCGCTGTAATGAAAATAAATATAAATTCATGCATGACAGGCAACGAAAAGGAAATTGGCAGTGAACGTGTTTTCGATTGGCGTTTAGCTCCACTCACGATCATTTCCATCCACTTTTCTTCAATGTTATTTCACTCGCTTCTCAGCGTTGCATTTCGTATTCGCGATGCAAATATTTGCGCAAATATTTAAACTTTTCGTATTTTTATTTGCTTTGGCTTATCGCAAACATTTATGGCGCTTGGCTACCGCGTATTATTTGCATTTATGTTTTCATATGTTTGTTGTTGTGCTTCTGTTTTTTTATTTGGCGGCTTCTTGTTTTCGTTGAGCTCACTTTTACACACTTAACTGTAAATAAATATGGTGTTATTTGCACGCTTGCAA